CGACCTTCGACACTGACAAATGAGTACCACCCGCGAGAAGGAAGCAGAAGACTACAGCTGGCCGTGACCAACTATCCGCAGAGATTGATTTCGAACATATAGCGTTTCTGGCGGACACTGTGAAACTGATCAACCCTGCACTACAGGGCTCACGATAAAACTGCGATACAAAGGATGCGAGTCATGAAAAGGCGAGACCGGCTCACATCCATAAAATTACAGACTTTCCCTTTTCTATTCCTTTGCCACATATCCAAGGCCAAGAATATTCAGGAAAATGTCATTTAGACTTTAAACGTAGAATTGCTTACTCGAAGCTCAGTAACGATGCATGCAGAAAAATATATATAATACTTTAGCGACTGCTTTAACCGTCACGGATGAGGGATGTTCAGAGACCCAGACATTTAGCTAGCTAAGATATCATGAAGAAATCTAGATACAAGAGCGTTTCTTTTTGCTCACATGGGGTATACCCTATGCTGATTCAAAAGAATCGCCGTCAGTGGTAATTATTCAACGGTAGCTAGTGTATTCAATGTTTCACCATGATGGCAAATTGCTCAAGTGCACTAAAGACGTGTTCAATCTGTTCTCAGGCTTATGATCTGGTGAAAACCAATCTACTTGAGTTTGGCTACTGTGTGTTTGAATCTAACTATGGTTTACCGCACCTTCTTCCATGCCCCTAATGCGATTAGCAGTTAATTTCAGAGCTAAGACGGACTATTAATAAAAGAATGAAGCAGAATCTAGGTCCATTTTATCGTTTACAATCGAAAACGAGAAATTCTGCGTTAACGAGAAATTTCGTGAAACTTTCTACTGGGTGGAACTCGTCGGTGAGGACGGTAATTGAGGAAGTAGAAGAAGAAAGAAAGTGGAATAAGGAGAATGACGCGTCAGTCTCATCTCACCATAATTCGCTCCATTGGCGAGAAATAAATTCATGTACAGAAAGGAAGCGGAGAGACAGTTTTTACTTCAAAACAAAGCAATGGTAAACCACGCTTACCTCAATCCGTGGGAAGGTGCTCAATAAAACCTGTAAGCAGCTGGAGGTAGAAAATTCCAGACGACGACAAAAACGCTGTGAGATGGCAAAACTAACGAACGTCGATGTTCGATGTCACATAAGTGCTAGAAGCGGACGTCAAAGGAGCGAGCGTGTATCGAAAACGCCAGGGGAACAACTCCAACGCCAGTATTAATGACTGTCTACGGCCCCCGACTGTCATTTGCATAAACAAACTGTCGGTGAGCGGCC